AACTTGGAGAAATAAATAAATACGGATATGTTATTTAAAACCACCTCGAATATGTTGTGTTAATGTTATGAAATGTTTTCTCATAAATTATGCGGTAAGCAGGAGGACAGAATTACGTCTAAACTGACGCCGTTTTTCTATTTCTATAGGTTGTAGATACGAGCATGGTTTTATATGCTATCACGTTTAATAGTGTTTTATGCCGTTTGCTAAGACTTGACAAGTCGCTCGTAAAACACAGGAGGTATGGAAACTAAGAACACCATATGTGGTAAATTGTACAGCTAATATAACACAACACATTAGTTGTATTTACTTTAACTGGTGGATTATGGATATATAGTTGCTGATTGAAAGCTGGAACACAAACTACCAAATACAAACAAATAATTCAGATCCTGTCGTCATGACTCCACTCCGGAGGGATTCCCCCATCATTTCTTACAGTTTCTCATCAAGGGAGTGTCTCCTGTCCCCGGTAAAAACACACTGCCTGAGGAAGGTTAGGCTATGTGTATTCTTTTTGTCATTAACCTTTTTCGGACCACTTATTTATTTATTTTGGTGACGATCCGACCTCCATGCTGCTACTCTGGTTCAAACTGCATCCACCAAACAATATGATTTATCTCGACCTCCCCAAAAAAAATCTGACACGGTGTGAGATGTCTTTTTTAGCTGTTCTGTCGTCATTTCCTGCGATCTTCTTCATGCAGTCAGTCAAAATGAATGGGCGTTTCTTTGACTATTTATAGGCAAATATGGGCGTTACGTGAAGCCCAAAAAAAGCTACACCGCATTTCGAGTCGGTTGTGATTTATAAAGAGAAACCGGCGTAGGAAGTGCCGTACGCACTTTCCTCGCCGGTAAGCAATGTTTTGTGAATCGGAAAATGTCTGTACCTATTTTTTTTTTTATTTCTACCTCGTAAGCAACCTTCCCACGTGAATCCTACGCACGGTGTTATAAATGAGGCCCCAGGGCACTACAACTGTATTCAAAGTCAACTTGGTGCTGTTGTGTTTAGTGCCAACTCCCTTCCCTCCGCTCATCTTTGCTTGTGTCTGTCTCTAAAGCCGGGCTCTGTTCGGGGCCATCTGCAACAGCATCCTCTGCACTATCATCGACCAGGCCCCCTTTGCTATCGACGATTTGATGAAGGAGGTGAAGGCAGCGGAGGCCTCAGACTCAGACTCAGGACAGGCTTCAGAAGAAGACGACGGTAACGAGCAGCCGAAAGAGAGGAAGAGCAAAGCTGTCTGTGAGATAGGGAGGAAGCAGATCAACGGTATGGCTCACTGGATCAACTCCTGACGGGTTAATTATATTTCCTATTTCCGATACTAGGCTAAGACTAAGCTAATTTACAGATGGCCCTGAGCCCAATAGAGATTGCCCTGAAAAATGCGCGCGGACTAAATGACGCACGAAGGGTTTGGGGGGCCTCCTCCCCCTAGAAAATGTAGATTTTTGCAGGTCTTGGATGCTGTCTGGTGCATTCTCTAGACTGAATTATAAGATGAACCACCACAATATTATATTGTTCGATTTCAATTTTATTCTTCATTTCACTTGTTTGTTTGTTCTTGTTCTTGTTTGCTCGCTTGCATGCCCTGCTTAGCTATAAGAAATACTTACGTTGTTGGTCAAGACACTTTCCATCTGATGAAGGCAAATACCTTCCCAGATGTAAAAAAGTAGAAAACATTACATTCAGTTATAACTGCCAGTTGAAAACTGCGAGTGATTCATTATTCTGCCCAGATCTTCTGTCATTTTCCGATTTGTGTTCTCTAAGTAACACATTGTTCTCAAATGACTAGTTCATGTTTGTGTATAGCATAAAAAGGATTACCTATTTATGCTACTGGACAACTTATCTGTGTTCTGAAATAATACTTTGTGTGACATTTAATACCATTTTGAGATATTGAAAGTTGAAATGTAACTGGTCAACTCGGCAGCTACTAAGCCTAAAATAGAATGCAGGACTAACAAGAAGTAAAGTAATGGATACTTGAGTATTTTAGTTTTTCTTTTTTTTCAGGCAATAAATCAAATGAAGATGAAGATGATGATGATGATGATGACGAGCTTCTTCACCTGGAGGAGGATTCTGAAACAGAAGAGCCATGTGACGAAGTGGTCGGCCCGGTGCTACAGGTGAAGGCTTTCTCTCTTTTAATGGTGTTTTCCTTTTGAGATGAAATCTGCTATGGTTAAACATTTCAATCCAATGCATGCCACTTGTTTTAAACTATACTGTTCTATATTATTCTCTCCTTATTATAAGCTTAATATTCTAACTTGTTAAACTCAAGGAAACTATAGCAGCTGAAAATCAGTAATGTTTTAAATGAATCTGTCAACTCATCTCAGAGAAGTTTGTTTCTGTGTGAGGAAACATTTATAGCCAATATGTTTAGTTGAACTCATCAGTTTGGCCCAGACTGTGGACATTTGTAATAGAGATGACCTCGTTTGTTTTCTGACGAGCTCTCTGTGTATTTTGCAGTTTGCCTACACGGCCCTTGCAGACAAGCTGTTTGGGTTGGCCAGTCGCAGCAGCACACCCAGCCAGAACAGACAGAGGCTGTACAAAATCATCAGAGTGTGAGTAAAACCATAACAATACTGTGTGTCTGCGTGTATGTGTCCTTTGTGATCAACGTTTACAGTTATCCTTTCTGTGATTTAAATTCAAAGGCCATATTAATAATAGGATTGTTTCACATTCTTATTTTTACAGCATTTCTATTGGCTACATTGGCACTGCACTTACTGTTTCAGCTAAATACAGCATGGTCAATACCACAAGACTAAAACAAATATTTTCAGAGATTGCATACCAATCCATGTCAAGTTATTCCTCAGTAAATTCCTGAATGTATTTAAATGTTTCTTAGCAGTAGCTGTGCATTTCACCCCTATGCCTTCAGTAGTTTCCTACCTGAATAAATACACCTCTTGATACCATCATTATGACGCCACGGCTATAGAAAGCATTAATATTATACAGAAACGCAGAATGAAAGGGCGTTGCATCACAGATAGGTATCTAATGTAGCGCGAATGAATGCAGTTACTAAAGCGGGAAACCCAGATAACACAATTCACCAAGTCTCCTTTCACTGCAGCTACTGCTGCACCACATACATCATCTCTAGCAGAAGCATCAATATTTACTTCTTAAAATGACAAGAAAATGTCAACAACAACAAAAAAAGTAATTCAAGCCTATACTCACCAATACGTTTGATTATTTGTACTCAAAACCCATCCTCCCTTCCCTCAAGAGATGAATTGGTCTGTGGTAATTTAATTCTTATTGTAAGTCTCGCCGCTGCCATGGTTAGACAACTCAAGTTTGCAAACTTATATGGCTCCAAACACCAAGTGCCAAGTGGATCAGTTGAGAATATCAGGCATTCCCATTAATGCAGTGCTCCTCGGAGGCTGTGAGGTACCACTGTAGTTAGTGAGTTGGAAGTGGTGGACAAACCCTTCCCCCGGCTGCGACAGGCTTGCTAGCTTCACCAAATCCATTTATCCTCCGCTGTCAGCCATTGTTGTCTGAAAAAACAGCTTTAACATCTAAACACAAATATGTTACCTTGTGCAAGTTGCTAAGGACGTTACAGATGCTGTGTGCCAGCAGGTCGCTACCGGTAACTATCGCTACACACGCTAGTATTTGCTAGTCCTGACAATCCTCAGTGCATGACATTAAGGATTTTGGGAGATGGCCCTGTGGGCCATCTAAGCTTATTTACAGATGTCCCTGAGCCAAAAAAATGCGCGCTGACTAAATGACGCACGAAGGGTTTGGGAGGCCTCCTCCCCCTAGAACATTTTGATTTTTGCAGGTCTTAGATGCTGTCTGGTGCATTCTCTAGACTGAATTATAAGATGAACCACCACAATATTACATTGTACAATTTCAATTTTATTCTTCATTTCACTTGTTTGTTTGTTCTTGTTTGTGTTTGCTCGCTTGCATGCCCTGCATAGCTATAAGAAATACTTACTTTGTTGGTCAAGACACTTTCCATCTGATGAAGGCAAATACCTTCCCGGAGGTAAAAAAGTAGAAAACATTACATTCAGCCAAAACAAACATTATTTCCACTGTTATGGCCCCTGTTAAAAATGTTTGTAATGTTATCTACCGTATTTTCCGGACTATAAGTCGCTCCTGAGTATAAGTCGCATCAGCCAATAAATGCGTCGTGAAGAGGAAAAAAACGTATATAGGTCGCACCGGACTATAAGTCGTATTTATTCAGATATTTATTTTCAAATCCAAGCCAATAACAGACATTTACGGTAAACTGGAAAGGGAAGTTATTAACTACACAGGTCCGGTATGTTAACGCAACACATACCTTCTACCTGGAGGCTGGCTCTGCGAGTCGGGCTAGGGTGGCATGCTTCTACCCCTTGACGCGCTCCGACGGAGGACTGCTGGGACAGACGGGGCATCTCGGACGCACCCACTGAGCATTCGGCCGCTGGGCTGGTAGGGGTGGACCCTGCGCCGCACCGGACACA